GCATTAATATTTATTTAGTTATTGTATCTGTATGCCACCCCATAGCTCAAGGGATCTCTGGGTTGCTCACAGGAAGAGATTTCTGGGTGGCTCACAGAAAGACATTTATTTATTTCAAGTCTATGCCATCCTACAGCTGAAGCTTTCTAGTTAGTTTACAACAGTACCTTAAAAATATAATTAAATTCAATTAAAATCCAATAAAATCTTATAAATAGAAACATTAAAAATTGAAAACTGCTAAAAACATAGAGGGAAGAATGACTTGTAAATTAAAAATATCTAGAATGGGTAATCCAATCCCCTCAAGCCCACAGATGTGAGCCTCCCCGAGGCTTCGGCGAATGGGGCAGCATAGATGTTTCCTAAATAGATAGATAGATAGATAGATAGATAGATAGATAGATAGATAGATAGGCAGACTGCAGTGGGGAGGTTATTCCCTAAGTAAGAGCTATCAAAGAGACAGCCCTCCTCATTCTTGCCACCCTCTGAATCTCCTTCAGAGTTGACACTTGGAGGAAAGCCCTGGAGGTTGTTTGTAGTGCCTGGGTAGATTGCAGTGGGAGAGGTGCTTCAACAGTCATTGTGGGTCCAAATCATGTTTGAACTAGCATTTGTAATTGGGCATGGAAGCATACAGATAGTGAATGCAAGTGAATCAGGCTGCATTCTGCACAAGCTGCAGCTTCTGAACAGTCTTCAAGGGCGGCTCCACATACAGTACATTGCAATCTAATTGTGGAATTACTAGAACATAGATTACTGAAAGCAAACTATCCCAGTCTAGGTAGGGGCATAGGTGGACCACCAGCTGAAGCTGGTGGAAGGCAGCCCAAGCCACTGATGCCACCTGAGATGATGGAGTACCCACAAGGTATGAACTTGCTCCTTCAATCCCACCTAGAACAGGTTGAGCACCCTCCATCTGGTCAGACAGCATCTTAGTCTTGTTTAGATTGATCTTCCATTTAGTACCTCGCATCTTGTCCTTTATCACATCCAGACAGTGGTTCAGCACATTTACAGCCTTACCTGCTGACAATGAAAAGGTGAAGTACAGCTTTGTGTCATCAGCATACTGATGGCAGCCCACTCCAAAATTCCTGATGACCTCACTCAATGGTTCCATGTAGATGTTGAACAGCATGGGGGCCAGAACAGACCTCAAAGGAACTCCATACTGGAAAATCCATGAGGATGAATAACATTCCCAAGCATCACTATCTGGAGCTGGCCATTCAGGCAGGAGCAGAATTACTGCAGTGCAGTACCTCCTCACTTCTACCTCAGAGAATACCATAAGAAGAAGGATACCATAATTGCATAGCCCCAGAAGGATACCATAACGGATGGTATTAAAAGCCTCTGAGAGGTCCAGGAATATAAACAGGTTCACATTCCCCCTGTCTCTCTGCAAGCATAGGTTATCATACAGGGCAATTAGGACTGTTTCCTTGCCAAAACCATGGCTGAACCCCAGCCAAAATGAAATTAGATAATCCGTCTCATCCAAGAGTGCCTGAAGTTGATTGTCAACCATCTGTTTAAGAACCTTACCCAGAAAAAGATACCAGCCTACAGTTATTAAGGTCTTCCAGGGCAAGGAAAGATGTCTTCAGCTGTGAACTCATTGCTGCCTCTTTGAAGAGGTCACTCCCTCAGGAGGCATTAATCCCTTCCTTCCTTCCTTCCTTCCTTCCTTACTTACTTACTTACTGGCTTTTATAAGTCAAGAAGGGCAAGGATCCAGTACAAAGGTGGTTGCACCAAACCTGTCCAAACACCTTCTCAACAGCCTAACCTATACTAACTTAAACTCATCCAATAAAACTGAACCAGTCTGCACTCTGGGTACCTCAGCAGATTCAGTTCTTTAACTCTGGAGTCTAAGTTCTGGTGGATGCAAGATATTTTTTTCTTGGAAGTACCCAGTAAGTAAATTACAGCAAGCCTTACAGGGTTCTAAGAAGGCCTTGGGACCAGCATGCAATAGTCCCCAGGCAACCCTTAAAAGCTGTGCTGAGTGGCAAATGAATATAATTCACATGGTTATAAATGGGGTAGTTAAAAGCATGATTGTGTCTGGCCCAAATATTGGGCAGGGGCAGAAGAGCATGGGGTGCCATCCCTTTTCTCTCCACCGCTAGTTTAGAGCAGTTAAATTTGACCAATGCTTTTTCTGGAGTGACTTTATTCAAGGAGCAGATCAAATACTACTCTCTCAGGTGCAGGCATAATGCCATTTAGCCTACCCAGATTCAACTGCTGTTGCTGCTACACAATATTCTTTGGTAGCAAACTGTTCCTCCCATTGCAGCACTCTGGTTTCCACTTACATCCCTCTATGTGCACTACAGCTATTTGAAATATTTGCTAAGAGCATCCAGTTGTGAAGAAAATATTAATATGTATATTATGTATCAAGGTTATATATTCTGCCAAATGAGGCCAATAAAATTCAAAAGTTACTTCTATTTTGTTTTCCAACTTTTACTGCTTTTAGAAGCAAGCCTACTTTTGGCACCATGGCTTTCTCTTATTTATCATTCTAGCTTTCTGAAGTGTAGATGTTGAGATTGTTTTATTACTAATATGAAAATTAAGTGTCATGATTCTGTTTTGGATTTTGATATCAAATGCTTCACAGCCTGTGACATTTTAATGCAGTTTGTCTTTTCAAATAAATTTACCTTCTAACGCATGAGACAACAGGACTTTGCTCATCAGACAGTACATACATTTCAGATCAGTTGTTACCTAAAATATTATCATAAGGCATAAGAAAACACACGATTTAAGTTGCCTTTCATGAACATAATTAAGAATTAATAAGCCTGTACCAGTGGCTAGTCCTCAGAATTTCCACTGTTTTGCCTTTTGTGACCCGTGTTATTAAAAGTCCATTATTTTTACAGACTTTATTAAATTGGATCTTATTAAAGCATTCTATATTTGCATTTGGTCTTTCATAATTCATTATTATTATGACATTTACTTTTTACCATCAGATCTGAAAACATATCATAAGCTACCCTTTTCTCTTGAAAGAAATGCTAATTTCAAACAGTCCTCTAATGGAAGAGAAAAGCTTTATCAGTTTTTTCATTTATTCAAGATCGTGTTAAGAATACTAATGCCAGACTTCAGTATGTTAATGGATGAAAGCTGGGTTTTTTTTCAGTCAAAAGCTTAGAATTATTGTTTTTAGACTACACTAGTAAGTATGAAAGTGAGGAAGCCTGGTACTACATCCATAGGCATAACTCTAGAGCACAGTTCCTTGGTTATTTTTCTTCACTACTCCTAATTACCTCATTGAAAGATATATTAAAATATTCTCTCTTGGTGTTAAGAGGTATACATATACATCATAGCTAAAAACCCAACTTTTGGTCCATACTTTTTTCCTAGAATTTGTTTTGTTGGTTGTTATGAATTTAAGTCTTAGCAACTGATACTAGAACAAGGATTCTGTGTATAATACTTCCTGCAATGCAGTTTCATATATCTGTTTGCTTGTGTCCCACAATTCATAGCAATATCTCCCACTGTAAATTGAAAAAGTGAGAGCCTTAAATCTGCCTGTCCCTGTCAAAAACCCCTGTTAAGCCCTGTCAAATTTTAAAAGAAAGTCTGAGTTTTGATAACTGTCCAAACTCCATGTTCCCATGCTCCATGCTCCCATAAATGTTCAGTTTTCCACTTCCCTGAGAACCTAGTGTCTCTGGAAAATGTAGAAAACTCCAAGAAAAGTCAGATTTTGCTGGGATGATCTATACATACACACCCCTTTCACCAGTTAAAAAAAAAATTCCTTGTGGCTTTGCTCCTCACTTAACAGCTCACCATTTGACAGCTGTTCAAATGAGAAGCAAAGCAACAAATCAACCTGTTGGCTTTATTTGTGTCAATGTTATATCTGCATTAATAGGAGACTTCCTCCAGGTCGTTGTGGAGGAAAGGCTATGCACCTGGGATGGTTGGAAGTGTGTACTGCACAACTCTGAAAAAATGACAAAATTTTAAAAATGAAATCTAGGGGAGCAAAATAAAATAAATGGATGGAGGACTAATGTCAGTTGCTCCAATGTGCTGCTTGGGCTCTTTGAAGGGGCTATTACCTTTGTAACTGCAAAAAAGTGTTCTGCCCTCTAAAAAAAGGGGGTAAAGGGGAAGACAGATTTAAAAAGCAGTAATTGCAAAATTTGCAGTCAGTGTTGAGTGAGCAAACAAGGTAGGTACTGTTGCAGAATCCCCTAGGATACCTGCGGGAGCACCAAAGGGTAAGGAATTGAGAAGTCAACCCATTGTGAGGACCAGTCATCTGTCAGGTGCACCATGGGTTGTTCCATGAACAACCCACACTGCTTAGCTTACTCACAGGGTGGTTTGCAACATTATGCAAATGTGACAATTGAGAGACTGCGCAGCTGCAACATAGGAAGAAAAAGTGTGAGTGTTGACATTGTTGAGCAGTACAGGGAGGGAGAGAGGGAATGGCAGTTGGGAAAGTATATAAAAAGAATGATAGTATGCATGAAGTGTAGAAAATCACATTAACATGGCAATGGGATCAGCTTAATCGCCAGCATATTATATCTATGCAGAGGGAACAGCAATGGCTGCCTATCAGATCAGGTTTAAGGTTTTGGTACCTATATGCAAAGTTCTAAATAATTAAGGACTGAGATACTTAAGAGATGCCCTTGTATCCAAGTACTCAGTTGCTACTCTTACTAAGAGATATCCTCCTGGTGGTGCCCAAGAGCTTGCTCCAGAGTAGAGTTTGATAGCTCTAGTTATGATACAAATTTGATGTAAATTGTTAAAGAAATTATGGGACTAGATACATTTTTGTCATTCACGTGGGCTCAGAATGAATAAATAAGACTTTAGGGATCCAATAATTTAGTCTGATTTAATATCTCAGGTTTCTTTAGTAAGATTGATGTTGCGTACAAAAACTTTAACCTCTTTTAAATATTTCTGTTCTTCAGGTTTCTAACAATGTGTACAAGACATTTTGGTAGTGTTGTAGCGCAGACTATTCGAACTCAGAAAACAGATCAGTTTCCACTTTTCCTGATTATTATGGGAAAACGATCATCAAATGAGGTGCTGAATGTAATACAAGGTACAGTTTGTGCATTCTTTTGGACTCATATTCTTCACTAAATCTTTATTGTTCATATTTTGGTTGTTCTCTCTGTATAATATAGTTCATCTTCTTACATTCTAAAAGTAATTTTCAGTGAAATGTAAAATGTGCAATGACTGCTGCTTGTTCAATAAGAATTGATAAATGAAAGATTTTGTTCACATCTCCCAGTAACGTACACCCTTGAGAGGAGGGTAGAGAGTATGTGATAGATCCTGGTTCAGATCTTCACACATGAAGCTGATAAATCATGAACATATTTACTCAGAAAGAAGTCTGAGTACAGTCCTAAAACTGATTCCTTAGTGACCTTGGTCACATTAAACTTCTACAAAAGAGTATTGTGAAAATTAAATGGAATGAATATATACTATAGCCAACCCCATTTTCATGAGATGAAGCAAGAAAAGGGAAGAATTGGCAACCTGTGGCTTTCCATAACTTTTGGCCTACACCTTCTATCATCCCTCAGCTTCAGCTATCCTAGTTAGGGCTGATAGAAGGTGTAGGCCAAAACATCTGAAAGGCTCCTGTCTTAAGGGAGTGTGGTTTGAGCCATAAAAATCAGCTAGCTAGTAAAAACCTCAAACTTGAACCTTTCTAACCTTGAAACCTTGCTTTTAGCCTGGCATTTACAGAAGTGAAGGAGTCTGCATTTGGAGGCATAACTAGCCTCTGATTAAACCAAATCTTCAGTGGTCTGATGTTTTATCATGTATGAAGTCTCTGAAGTCTCTGTGCATACTTTGGTACTTGTTTATAGAAGTATATCCAACAGCTAGAAAGTTTAATAGGCATGGCTTGTTGGAGGAAAAACAAATGGGCTATTTGAGGGTTGTTTTCCTCAATGCTGCCTAGGTTTGCACAGCACAGTAGGCTGTACCTGAGTAAGTAATTCAAGAAATCGTTTCACTCAGGCGCCAAGGATTAAACAAGCCATAATGCCTTGTTTAACCTTTCATGATTGTGTGACCAGGTCATACACAGACCTTATATTCACAGTAAATTCTCACAATGCCAAAAGCAACCAATGCAGGAAAATAAGCCTTCACATGCCATAGAATATTGAAGACTGGGACTCCTCTCTTTTTTGTACATCAACTCAGCTTTCATCAACAATTCTACCCAAAAATTGAAACCCAGTCGGCCCTAAATATTGTGCACTGGAGGAGTTTAAGGTTTTTACATTTGTATTTTTGACTATGTTCAGAATTTCCAGGAACAGCTAGCCCCTATAATACATTTATGTATTTATATATTTATTTACAATAAATAGTTTATTCGATTTGATTTCTCTACTGCTCATTAACTAAGATGATTCTCAATATTAGAACTGAAAATGTGAGACAAATAGTATTAAGAATGGTGTACAGTTGTGTTTTGTTATAATATCTTCAATCCTTTTTTGAATAATATACTCCCAAAGAGCTTTGGCTTTTGGATGGTATAGAAACATAAATAATGAATGAATTACTGTTCTTCTGTAAAGCTATCCTGAATTTTACAAGGCAGTCTGAAAGTATTTTAAAAATATCATTTGAGCTAATTTGCTATACATCCCCTTCTTCTGGTTAGTGATCCTGACTCTGATATTTCCTTTGCTATGAAGACATAACCGAAAGCATTGTTAATCAGTCCAGGGATAGACATTTTCATTTACTCTTGCACTTGCACTTGTTGGAGAATTTAGAAACTTTTCTTAACACTATGGAAATAATGGCAAAATATCTTAAGAATTTAATCACATTTTCTTATTACAGTATAAAAAACATTGCTAGGTATTACTTTTGGATTATTCCTAGAATGACTTTTTTAAAATAACTTTAATAATATGCTCAGCAATCTTTCCTTGTTGCTAGGTAACACAACGGTGGATGAGCTAATGATGAGGCTGATGGCTGCAATGGAGATCTTCAGTGCTCAGCAGCAGGAAGACATAAAGGACGAGGTGAGAGCTGGACATCACTATAGACACATAATACATTTAGAGTAAGGGTCTTTTGAGACAATTAGAAATGCCGGATTCCTGGAATTAGTGCAATACCTATGCTAGCCCCTGTTGAGTACCAGTTGCTTATAATATAAACAAATGCTAAGGAAAACAGGGCTCCTGCACTGTAAATATTTGTGTAATGAAGACGTTTTTGAAGGTTATTATGCAGAGTAAGAGAAGCTGCACCTGACAAAATGACTTATTCTAAACAACTTGACAGGAGTGTTGTTTCTATTCTATAGGTAAACCTAAACACATAATACTCTAGCTGTACTAAAGTACTGTAATGGAGCAGGGCTTGAGATAGCCTTGCTGTAGCAAGGATTATCATCTGCAACTTTCTAAAAAAGAAAGAGATGTGTACCATAGTGACAGAAATGACCATACAGACTTTAAATAACTATTTTTTTAAAAAAATGCAGGAACAGGTTCATGATATATTATATGCTACAGAGAGAGAGAGTTCTATTAAGTGTTCTCTACTTTTGAAATGGTAAGAATCAACATTCCATTCTAGGTGCTATAGCAAGGGATACTGAGTCTTATCAGTGCTGAACTGATAAGGGCTAACATAACAAATTAAAAATTCATCAACTGGATGGGAAGACTATAAAAAGTATCACAGTTAAGATGCAAGTACAGTCACTAGTGATGCAATGACAAATGAATTCTGAGAAAATGGGATATTCTTGTAGCAGAAGTACTCTGTTGAGGGAAGGCATCTCGGTCTTCTGGAGGAAATGTGAAGAAATTGCATTAATTAGAACTATGAAAATTAACTGTAACAGCCAAATATGCGATTACAGAAATAAAGATTATTTAGGGTGGTTCATATTACTATTATTTTTTCAGTGAAAACTTGTGCAACAAATATTGTTTCAGAGATGGTATCATTACTTTAAATTATATCAAGGGGAAAGTGGAAATAATAAGATTGTCAGCCCAAAATATCTTGTGTCAGATTAATACAGTTGAAAACATGACTATCTGGAGTAAGAGATTTCAGATGATTAAAACATATATTTATACAAAGATATTAATATTCACATTTATTTCTTTCTATGTTGGGAATATATTTCACAAAAATTAACACTATATTTTTCTTACCTACCTTTTAAGATAGGAAAGCAAAAAAACCCAAAACTTTACACTCTAGCAAAGCATCATTCATTATACCAATATGATAATCACAGTTATTAATGATAATAATGATATACACTAACATAGTTTTTCATAGAAACTAAAGTGAGCAAATGAAAAGACAAGGATTTCCTGAACTGTCAGTGTTTCATGTACATAAAAAGTAGAGACAAGCCAAGTATACCATAGTGAGATGTTTATCTGTTACTCTGTAAATTGAGAGTGACATTTGCAAATAATGAAGTACTTAGTTAGGAATTTGTAATAATGGGTTTGTTGCCATTCAGGATTATTGTTATCCTGGGTGTAGAGACATTGATTGTCAATAATGCACTAAACACATTTTTCAGCCATTTAAATCTTGTGTTGCTTTAGTACAAGATTTTCTTATTGTATGATAATCAGAATGTGTGTGTGAATTTATACCAACTATGTCCATTTTACTCTATTTGTTTCTCATAGCTCATTGCCAATGAAATGACTTTTACTTCCTTTGTATTCTCAACAGAAATTTTAATTATGGAGTTCCAAAATTAAAATCCATGGAAGAATGTAATTGAACATTTTTATTGCAAGTTAGCAGCAAGGAATCAAGAAATACAAACTCCTTCACTCATTTTCTCTTTCACACACAAACATACACTCATGTTCTAAAATTCAGGTCAAAAATGACTGGGATGTTTAGTATATAATAAGCTAGGTTATATATTATCTTGGCTTACAAGTTTGAAGACAGTGATTGCCACTTTTTAAAATTGGTTGAAGCTAATTGATATACCTGCCTCACTTGTGCACTTTTAAAGCATCATTACTAAATTCATCTAACCTAATCCAGCACTCAAATTCTTGTTTTGGCTGCCAAGGATAAGATAATTCAGATAGCATTGTACTAATCACTTTTATTTTAGCAGGTGGCTATTCCCAATCAATATTGTGTTTTAACAGTGTTTTATGCAGTGGGCTTTGGTGCTCTAGCTTTTGCCTGGAGCCTAGCACAGATCCAGCACTCCAAGTGCAGTTAGTGAAACCAGGGAGAATGCCATTGCCAGTGCCCGCTTATTCTCTGGTGCCATGTGCCTGAACACGGAATAGCTACAAAAAACTCACACAAAGCCAACGCTTTTTGGTAAAGTTGGCTTTACCAAGTGCTATTACAGACCCGCTCCCTTTCCTCTCCAGTATTCAAGAGAGGTCTCCACAACCTGTAACTCTTTAAGCCCAAATTAATATTGAATTGTGTCTTCCAAATGTTTTCAGAACTACCACCAACCTGATCTTGCAATATTTGGCCCTTGGTGGGTCGCTGTACATAGCTGATGAGAAAATTTATGGTGACTTCTCACTTTCAGAGAAGCAGCAGTGTAAATTGAGGGGCCACCAAATGTCTCGGACTAGGGGTGGATGTACAGCACATGCATTTTCACATCTACCTGGAGAACAAGAAACAGTTACAAGCCATCCCTGCATCTACTTGTTGATGTGTGTGTGGGGAAAGGGGGATGGAACATAAATAGTTACAAAAAGTTGAAAAAAAAATTCTCTGTGCCTGTCACCTGCAACAAAAGTATGGTTAAACCAATGAGGTGACATGCTTACAGAGACAGTGTTTGGGAATGGCCCCTTAGAACTAGAACCCTGAATCTTTCATTCAGAGTCCTGGATCTCTGGAAGGCCATCTGCCCCCTCATCCAGTTATCTAGGGGTGCTGTGGTTTATCGAGGCATTGGTCCTGGATTTTTAAAGCAATGACCTTGATATTTAGAATTATCCTGTCCCAATTGTCATCATTAGCCTTGATACAAGCTTGTTTCTTCCCTCTGAAATCAGTAGCCATAAATTATTAGGAAAATTTTGGACTCACTCTGACGACAGACTAATTGGGAGGGTGGATGAAGGGACCAGACTTTTAAAATAGAAGGAGCCTGGCACCTTTCCCTTCACAATCTAGTCATTATTTTCATTAAGTCCAGAATCCAAAATTGTCTAGCAGCACCACTGTCACCTGGCTTTCCTAGAATACTTGACCCCGCAGGGACTGGCCAGCCACTTACTGCTGCATAACTGCACTTCTGCCTTGTGCCATTGTAAGCCATAAGAGCATTGGCTGCTCATGTATTAAATGGAGTGTCAGAGGCCTTCCTTCCTATTTCCTTAGAACTGGCCTGGTCTTCTTTCCCTGGGGGAGAAAGTGAGATTGCTGTTCATTTTAACCCTGTTTTGTATCTGAACCTTCTGGATTGGTTGGGCTTTTTGTCCAGTGCTTCTCCTTCTGCTGCTTCACCTCCCCATCTTCTTTACCAAGGTTCCTGCCCCCCCCCCCCGAAATCACATGCTATCCTCTCTCCTGTCCATAATCTCTTTTTTACAAATAGGAATGTCCTTAGGAAACAGAATCCTTTAAAGCACACACAAGCACTGACTTGAGTGCCTCACGCAGCTGCCTGAGACAATTGTTTCAGGACATCATGAAAAAGCAGCAATTTTTTGTTTTTTGTTGTAGTATTTTCACTGCCAGGAAAGGGAAGAGAGGTGCTTGTAGAGTCTTTAGTCACAGATCAAAGCAACTTGACAGGCTTTAAGTAGGGAAGGTGCCATTTGCTGCTCTTCAGGCAGCAAATGCTTTTGGAGCCAGCCCTGGATATAGCTATAAAAATGGGAAAAGATAGCTAAGATGGGAAATTATATGTGGTAGGGAAACAATTGGGAGTATAAAGATGTAGATAGGGTAATATTCAGTATTCCATCAGATTTACTGTGTAATCCACAACGTGTTTACTCAGAAATAAGTCACACTGAGTTCAGTGGAATTTACTTCTAGGATTGAAGTCTTACTCCTTGTAAATGAACTCAGAACTGCAACCTGCCTTAGCTACCCTGAATATAGTGCCAGTATCTTGATCTAAAGCAAAACCTGGAGATTTTTTGAATTTGGTAATTCAAAAAAAGCAGACAAAGGTAGCTGTGCTGGTCAATGAGAAATAAGAAACCCAATCCATAGTTGGGCAAGGCCCTATTAATCCTATTAAATCCTGATTGATCCTATTAAAAGTATCCAACTACTGTATATATGCATTTTGTTACTTTAAGAGTTCTAGAAACTTAATAGCACAACATTTTGTATAGGTTTCAGGATTTCAAGAAATCAGAACCCAAAAAATATAACAAGACAGTCAGAAAGGTGTTTTAGAATTCCAGAAGGTAACATTTTAAATAAGATGAGTAGTCACCTTTTGCAGTACTTATCTCTTCACCCTTACCAACCAGGAGCAGCGGAGCAATATTCTCCAGACCTGGACTTTCTGTTTGGTGATGTGTTGCCTGTAGGTGATGGGCAGGGGTTAAACAACAAATGAGGATCATCCCAAAATTAAATGCTTGAGGAGGGTTGCTCCCTAGTAATTGTGTAAATTTGCAGCCTAAGACCATGAGGTGTTATAATCTACAGTGTACTGGCACAATCTTGTTAGTGTGCTATATTCAGTTTGGCTAATTAATCACTAGATGTTTAAGATGCCAAATAGCTCTTTCCTGGTCCCTAACATGCCATTCTGCACACTTAGATTTGGGCCTGAAGGAACCAATGGTAGACACATGGAGAGTAAATTTTAAGCAAGCACAGTTTGGGACAGTGCAAAGTTCTGTCTTGAAAGCAAGCTAGAGGTGATGTGATCTTCTACTATAATTTAAATTATAGTAATCACGTCTAATCACGCACATAGATTTGGATATGTAAACTAGCATATGCAAAATCATGTGATTTTTGGTTTTTTGTGTGGGTTTTATTTATTTTTGTGCTTTGTGGGCATGAGCTCCAG